CGCTCTCCCATTGGGCAGCTTCGTACAATGCACGTCCCCGATTGGCCCGTCTTCTCACGCCCCTCCCAAGCAGGAAACGGCGCGATCAACATCCGGCGAACAGTCCCCGGGCGGGGGGCGGCGCATGCGCCCGAGGGCGGAGGGGGGGTGAGGCCGGTGAAACCGCCTCACCTCGTGTTTAGACGAACCCAAGGTCGAAAAACAGGCGTTTACCTTGAGAAGAAGATACAGCCGCGCCTTCTATCGCGAAAAACACTTGATGGGGGAGGCAGAGGGAGCAAAGGAGGCTCCTGGCCCGGCAGCGCGGGGGAGGCCGAGCACGGCCCAGGCAGGGCCAGCACCGACGCTGCGCATCGAGCGTGCTGATGGCAGCTGATGGCAGCTGGCCGTCAGGAGCCTCGGGACTCGGAGAGCCAGACCTCAACCACGCTGACAGTGGCTTACCTCACCCACGAGAGCAACTCGATGCTCTGCGCTGTGGGAAACCAGGCCCCAGGGATGCATCCTAGAGCTGTTACTTTAAATGGGAGAGACAACACGTCAGGTAGTGATAAGCTAATAACAGCCAGTGTAACAACTAGGCCGGAGATTCAGCATCTTCAACTCCAGTACATGCCAAAGCTGACAGAAAAGTCTAATTACAACTATTCTGTCCTCTCCCAAAGTTGGCCTCACATGTTTACTCACATACGCACAAGTTATCTCAAAATCCTTCATAAGGGCAGTTTTCGTTATTTGCCAAGTCCCAGATGGTTCTGTTTATCACTGTTTACCAACTATAGCTAAGTGTTGATCCGCCACCAAGAGATGTTTTTCTCAGGCAGTACCTGTAAGAATACACGTACGCAAAACAATTTTTACAGATTAAGGCATAAAAAAGTAAAGCAACACAAAAGGAAAAAACTTGCATAAGAAACGGATTTTCAATGATACCAGTCTAACATTTTATTTATTGCATACAAAAGTTCTTTTGACAATGGATTTTTGTATGAAAAGTAATTTGATGCATACTGTTGAGAATCTTATCTTCAAAGTCAAAGATGCTGCAGAAAACTTAAGGCAATGCATCTAAGCATATAAAGCACAGTTAAGTGGTGGAAATTTTCAAAACCAAAAGCCTATTCTTCATTCCCTTAATTTAAGTCACAACTTGCCGGAACACGAGTAGGCTGCAGCTTTATTAGCCCCTGCAATAGCATGTAAGATCAGAACACACTGATTCCTGGCAAATACCAAAGTGTTCAACATCACATTACAACATTATGCATACATTTAAAAAGCGAGACAATATCAGTAGCTGTTATAAAACAAGTTAATTCATGGACCACTAAAATACCTCTAGTACCAGGCACCCCAATCAGGCGCATAAAAGATTTCCTAAAAAGAAAAGAAGTCCCCCCAACCTGTGCTTCTTTGTCCTGTAAGGAAGCCAAAATATCACATACCCAGGGTCTGAAATAATTATTTCAGCAGCCCTGTTTTTTTTGTCCCATGTCTCTCAAGTATCTTCTTGAAAACTTTAAAAAGGAGTATCATCAGAGTTCAAGCCTCACTGGTCAACTGGCTTCCCTCCTTGTAAGAGTCCCTGAAGAACAGAAAGTGTCTGTTCAGTCCTCCCAGTTACTTTTATTCATTTTCACCACTGCAGCTTCAACTTCATACTCACTTTCAATCTCTTACAGCCATAATGTTCACAAAGCTTTAGCATTAAACCACGTCAGGTTTTGAAGCAGTCAAATCCTGTGTTGCCTCTCTCCATATCCCCCCACCCCCCCCCCAAGCACAAAGTGGTTTTAAGTCCAGTTTTAGCAATGCAATTAAGCTTGAAAATGTCCATTTATCACACATGCTGGAATAAAATTTCTCTCCACTTAAAGCCTCGGTGCCAGGGGTGTTAAGTTTGCTGCCAGCAAGACTGCACCGGCAAATGCTACTCCTAACAGACTGAAAAAAAAGAAAAAGGGAAGCAGCTTTAACCAGACAAAACAGGCATCAAATTAGATAAGGTAATATTAATAAATGGATCACTTCATATTTAGTGTAAACATAACAGTTCATCTTCTAAGTTTACTGTAAACCATTTCACACTTAATCTGATTATGAAAGACAAAGACAAGAGAAACAAGGTATTTATTATTCAATCCACTTACAAAGCAGGTGGCTTAATGCAAGCTTATTGACATGTTCATCTATGATCCCCGAGGAACATCTCTTCCAAAGCGACAGTAACACTGTCTCCATGTTTTTGTACATTTGCATTTTGCGATGTTGAGCATGTTTAAATAAACTATAATCTGAGATGTGAAAGAATGTTGATGAGCAACTTGAATCCTGATGTGGATTAAAACCTCCTCCAAAGGCAAAATGTTAGAACGTTATAACTTAATTCTATATACTATATTATGCAGCAAATCTTAGCTATAGGCAGTATTTCAATCAGTGATGGACTGTTGGTAATTTATAAAGAGGGAATCTATGATCAAGGGAAAAACTAGGTAACCACATAATGTGTGTTCTAGTTTCTACAGAAATTTACAGGCTTTCAATTTATTAATGAAAAATAAAACAAGAGACAAGTGGATTTAGCTAACTTTATTAACTTTAAAACTAACAAAAATCCCAAGACAAGCCTGGAATCCTTAGAAGTTCTATGAACGCATGTGTATCTGCCAAAAATACCCCAAAACAAAACAAAAAGAAATGACCCACCATCACCAGTCCCCCCCCCAAAAAAACCCCACAAAACCCCTGCAGCTCTAAGTTCTTATTGAATGGGTTTATAAACAAAAAAATAAAAGAACACCAAAAAACACAAACCACAAAACCCCCTCTATGTGCGCAGATACTTCAACTTAAGTTAGCAGAAGACCAAACAGGTTCTAAGCTTTCTCCATTTCCCTATTAATTCTTTCAATCCGCAAGTATCTACAATCCAGCTAACTGAAATCAACATTTAGTGTTCACTAGAGCTGTTTCACAGCAGCAAATATTTAAGTTAGGGATTCAAATTTCTAGACATAGGGGGGGGGGGAAAAAAAGATAAATACAATCTGAACAGCAGTCTAAATGTTTAACATTGACATTCAAATATATCTGCATTGTGCTGAAATTTTAAAAACGAACACAAAAATCTGATCAGACAAACTGTGGTAATGAGTATGCTATATGAATCAGTCAGACTGAGGATAGTTCATATTATGTTCCCAGTATTAAGGATGTTATTTGACTCAGAATTGATATTGTAAATATACAGCAGCCATTTTTTCCTAATTAAGGAATGTCTCTATACATAATATTATCCTTTTCTAGATTATCTTTATACATTTAAACTAAAATATATGATAGATTAAATTAAGGAATTCGAGGTTAGTAATGAGTGAAATCATACTTTCAAAGCTCGATACTACGTAAAACAAACCAAAAAGAAGAAACCACACATTTCTACTTACTAAAGCAGCTAATCTTGCCTGCAAGTTTGGGGTCACAAAGCCCATAATATGTGCAAACAAATGCAATACAAGGAACCATGCAAAAAAAATACAGTAACAAAATAAAAGAAAAAATGTAAAACCTAAAAAGTAGTTTTATAAATACACTGAAACTCAATGGTCTTCCACATAAACTGTAGGTATAGCATTAGTTGTACCATGTAGCAGAGCCAGCACTCTAGGTTCAATGCTTCCAAATCTGCGCAGATAAGTCATGCCATCTTTGGTTGACTGCAGTACCACGAAAAATGAGAGGGAGCGAGAGGGAGGACAAGAGTTCTGGAAAGCAGTGTCAACTTTCACTAGGCAGTTGAGCTTCAATGTCCACTCTGCAAATGGGGCACTTCTTGTTAGTAATCAACCACTGATCTACACATACTTGGTGGAAAAGGTGCATACATGGAAGGCGCCTGTCAGCAGAACAGAAAAACATTCCTGTTAACACAGCATCAACATACCAACTGGAAATACAGCCATGTGGGTTTTGCTATCGGGGTGTCTGTCCTCTCTGCATGGGCATATTTTCCCACAAGCTTTGCTAGCCTTTCCAGTTGAACCTGCAGTTTGTCTCATTCCAAGAAAAGACGGATATGGGCAAAGTCAGGCATCAGCTAGCTTCTGCTGTATTACACTGATTTAAACCTGTTACAGCTTAAGTAGCATTACTCCAGAAAAACTAAAATCGACAGTCCTGATTAATCCGAGATACTAGCTTGGGCTCAGGTTATAAGACAGTAACTTATGGAAGACTGGAAGAAAATACCCTACGTTCTACCCAAAGTCAATACACACTGAACAGTGTGTGTTTTCAGTTTCACCTTGTTTGATTTACTGGCTCAGTGACAGATAGCCTTCAACAGTAACAGTTAACCTAGGCAGTACTGCAAAGACAGCAGTGTACCATATTCAAGTATGGTCTCAAAGCCAGAACATTAACATTACATTCTGATATTCAGTGGTATGATTTACCTGACGTCTTCACCTTCCTCCAGTATAGACAAACAGATGGTACACTTTTCCTCTGTGTCTTCTTCTGTTCCTTCCTCCCCATCTTGTTTGCAGTGCAGTTTCCTCTGTGAGAACCAATCAGTTGTTACCTTATTAGTAGAGATGACATTATTGACAAACTGAGTAAGATCTGTTTTTAATACATATTCAACACATACTACTTTGTAAACATTGCACAGTATTTATTCAATTGTATATGAATCAAAATGAATCAAGAACTACCACTTGGAGCAAAAAATCACACAACATTGCAGACTGATCTAACGTATTAATTACAAAAGTCTACTGGACCGTGAATATATTCATTTCATATTGTTACTATCAGTCCTTTTACTTGTCTATGTATAAATAGCTTAATTTCATTCATAAAGAAGAAAAAAAATCCTTTCAAACCTAGGATCTTAAGTCACTATTGATCAAGTGTGAAAGAACACTACACAAACGTGGATGGGAGTCTATGTTACGGTATAATAAACTCCACTTGAGAGACAACTGAATTTGCCAAAATTCTGTAGCAGAATCAAAACTTCCTAGTGTCCCAGTCGTCTTAATGTGATCAGAGCAAAGGTTAAAATAATACATACCAAGCAAGTAAGCATCATCAACAATTTACTGCAGAAATAAAGTCTTAATTTGATGAGTCATCACTGAAGTCTGTTAACAATTTAGCTATTATCAGGAGTTACTGAACTGCTCACAAAGCTATTCATAACTGCTGGACAAGTTATCAAATCATATCAAACCACTTCTGGTTTATTACACTGCACTAGCTCCTTATCTAGGGAAGAAGTTTTTTATTTTGTGAAAGAAGTGGCATTGTAAGGTTTGCTTACAATCCTTGAAACTGCAAGATACAGAAAACATGCAATCTTAGAAGCTGACATTTCTGCAGGTTTAAGCTAAACATCAACATTAATATATTTTCAAAGAAATATTACAGGCAGGCCACAAATGGAGAAATCCTTACCTTTTTGTATTTATGTGGGTATGTGCATCTTTCTATAGTTCCCTGCGTTGCTCCACGATTGACATTGCCTAATCGTTCCTCCAAGTGAATCAGCTCCTAAAAATTATGAAGAAATAAGTAGTGTAAGAACTGTTATTTCAACTACCTTGAGTATATATTAATTTTCTTCTAACCCATTTTCGGAGTGATAGTTCCCAACTTACTCAAATACAGACAATGCAAAAAAACCCGTATGTTGTGTGGGAAAAGCGGTGGGTTTCTGTAGCAAAACCCACACAACACTGCCTGGTATTTTAAGTTACAGGGAAACACTATTTTACACTAAAAAAATTAGAAATTGTTTGTCAGCAAGGAATGGTGATTAGTATGTTCACATATATGTGTGTGTCTAATGAGAAAAATGCAATTTAAATGCACTACACAAATATTTGCTTTTTAACAGTCATTAAGGCTTAGAAGAAAAAACAATGCTTAAGTTGAAATGCAGCGACTGATTTAGTTTTCTCCAGCAATGAGTTCATTAGAACCATGAGATGTCACTGAAGTTTTCAGTGGACTAGGTCATTAACTCTCTGCATCTGATACCTTTCATTTTCTCCTTTTCTTTTTTCCTTCCCTCAGCTCCAATTCCTGCACTACATAACAAACACGACAGCACTGTTAACGTTGCCAAGTTTCACCCTCACTAGGAGGATCCTGGCAGAGTTATTCAGAGACACCACTACCTTTTCCCAACACACCCTGTGACTACTATGTCCTTCTAACTGAGGTGGTGGGCAGAGCAAGACATACCGTCAGTTAACAACCACCTAAGCCTACCTTGACTAGGGCAGCTTTTACTGACTGACTTTTCAAGGTGCTTTTACCCCAGTTCACAACAGTGAGGTCATTCTATAAAAACAGGGTATTTTCCCTACATGCCCTACAATTACATCTATATACAGAACTAACTCTACCAGACATCCCCCCCATATTCCCTCATGACATTGACATATATCTAAGTTTTATTCTATTACAAACCTCAAAATTGCCCCTGAAAGGGCCTCTGAATGATGTTCCATCCAATCCCGATGAAATGTAACGGATGTGAGGGTAGCCCGCCATGTCTGGTACCTATTCAAACAGCAGATGTTAAGTTAAACAGAACTAACTCTACCAGACATCCCCCCCATATTCCCTCATGACATTGACATATATCTAAGTTTTATTCTATTACAAACCTCAAAATTGCCCCTGAAAGGGCCTCTGAATGATGTTCCATCCAATCCCGATGAAATGTAACGGATGTGAGGGTAGCCCGCCATGTCTGGTACCTATTCAAACAGCAGATGTTAAGTTAAACCTATTCAGAACAGTTTCAGTATTTTACTGTTCACTTTGTAAAATTTAAGATCCTTTTGCTTTTATTGAATTGCTTATTTTTTTTATACTGCTCAGCTTGAGCATACAATTCCAACTGATGGCATAACACAACACCACTCTGAGCTCTCTAAACATAACCAGAAGCAAAACAGAAGTGAGACTAGACCCTCCATTATACTCTCGCCACATCTGCATTACGTATTGTTTGGTCTCACTTCCCAAATCTCAGAACCTCAACCTACTTTCATTAAACCACTATAAAGATCTACCTATTTTTATAAACAAAACACCTAAAAGCTACGCATGAAGTTACAAAAAGGACTTGTTATACATAAATGCAATTTTTTGGTACCACAGGTGTAACAAGGATAATAGTCTGGAAAAAACAGCCAATATCCTTATCTTACCCAAAACAACTGCACAGAGAAAGAAGTACCAGCTGCATTACAAAAGTCCATTTTTTTATTTGAAAAATGTAGTTGAATTTGATGCAGCTAATCAAGGCTATTTCAAACCTGACATTCACTCTGAACTACAACAGCTACGTTACATTACAGCCCTAAGCTAAGCATTCAGGTATTTTACAGGAAGCCTGTTAGTTTTTTGGTATGAAACAGTGGCATCCCTTAGAGCTGCGATACCTGTACGATTACACTGAGTGATATTATTCCGACCAGCACACATCTACCGTACTGTACTATGACTTACTGGTACCTATCGGCCTATACCTCCAAATCCCTCCCAGTTTTTACAACTAAGTGTAAAGATAGCCTCAAACACTCAGAGTCATTCAAGAATTAAAGGAACAAATCAGTAAGGCTTAGAAACAGAAGAAAAAGGCAGGACAGCATTTGTCCAGAATGGAATCGATCATAAAAATCACTTTGACAAAAAGGTATTTCCTTAGCACTATCATGTTTTAACAACAGCCAGCACCTACGAACAACACAGCCACTTGCTCACTGCCCACCCTCCTCTCTCCCAGAAGGATCATAGAATCACAGACTGGTTTGGGTTGGAAGGGACCTTAAAGACCATCCAGTTCCAACCCCCCTGCCATGGGCAGGGACACCTTCCACTAGACCAGGTTGCTCAAAGCCTCACACAGCCTGGCCTTGAAGTATGACCAGGAACAAAGGATGGGGGAGAGAAATCGGTGGGGAAAAGAAAAAAAAAAGTTGAAACACATGGGTCGAGATAAAGACAGTTCAATAGGACAGAAAAGGAAGGGAATAATGAGGAGTGCGTGAGAAGCTGAGAAGTCCCTGACCGGTGTAAGCACCACTTCGCAACAACTAAAACATCAGCATGTTATCAACATTATTGTCACACTAAATCCAAACCACAGCACTGTACCAGCTACTAGGAAGAAAATAGCTCTATCCCAGCCAAAACCAGGACAAGCAAATACACAGCATTAAAGCAATAACAATGGGAACACAAACTGCTCTAAGTCAGGGTCACGCTTAACAAAATAATTGTGTTAAACCAAGGAGAGAAGCAGCCTAATCCTTGTCTACACAGATAATGAAGGAAGCTCTTTTTAACTGCTTTTAATCCAGGATCCCTCCTGAAGCAACACTTCGGGTCAAAATTTCTTCAACCAAGCTAACTGAAAAGGAGATTTTGTTTCCTCCACCCTCTATTTGGACTGTCAAAGCTGCTGAACACTGATTACCTTCCCCAATACATCTTCATCATTTTATTTCCCTGAGAATTACATCTGCAGTCTACATTCCAGCACTGACTGGATAAAGATTAGGTTATCTGCATGCAATTAAACTCTGAAATTGATATATCAGAGTACTAGTGCCATTAAAGACCAAATAACCCATTATGCCTTTTATGGCCTGGCAGTAGCTTGAAGGAGTTTTTGTACTCCAGATGGACAGAAAAAATACACACCGCTTACTGGGCAGCATGCTATTCCAGAAAGCGGATTCAACACAAAATTCATTTCTGAGTTGACCTACTGCAGGAATTACTTTCAACGTTTAGCTTTAAATGTTTAACTTGCAGCCTCCTAATTCATTTGCAGTCCCCTGAACTATTAGGAGGGCCCTTTCTCTTTGAGGATCTAAAGCAGCAAATGTTATCCATTACCGTACAACTCATGAAATGAATGTGGGAGAGAGGCAAACCATTTCTAATCCACTTGAAAAAATAGATATTTAACTGAAGAAGTCAGAAAATCTTAATTCTGAATAGATGATTCAGAGTAAGAATCTTGTTGGCTACACTGAAATACCAAGTTGTACAGACTGCTCTAGAAGTCTGTGTTGAGTATGCCAGCGGTGCATCAATGAATTACCAACCCTGATATATCACAGAAGTACTTGAGGATTATAGTGATGTTTGTTAGTTAAGTAGCAAGGAGAAGCAATGTAAGACCAGACTATGCAGAGACAGGTATTACAGTATCAGCTGTAAATTTACAGTTCAATCCCTAGATGTCAACTCTGGTTACTAACAAAGGAATTTTACATAGACAAGACTTGCAGGTTGGTTTTTAGTTAGAATTTTAGCATTCTCTTGCAGATGAGCCCACAATTTTGGTTAGATTATCTAGCTTTAAGAGTGTTAAATAATACGGGTTAGCCACACAAAATACCACATAGAAACACTAAATACACACCATTAAACTAAATTTGTGTCTCTGACTTTTCATTAAACAAAATTAAGAACACTTTCAATAAACCTACAGACATTCTGTCACAAATAATACTGTCATAGTCAGAGTTATGCTGATTTTCCTTGGTTTTCTAATGTAGATTAAAGAAAGTTACGTGTAACAAGGGACTATTTTACCCTCACACTTCCTACTGCTTTACACTTCATGCTATGAAATTATAGACTTTATCACATGGAGTTAGATTGATGAACACCAAATATTATTTGAAAACAACCAAATCTCTAGATGAAATTCTAGCTGTGCTGTATACACACCTTAAAAATACAGCACTAGTGCTAATCCTCATGTACTGGCTGGAAAATTTGTACCTTTAATAATTGAAAACTCATTAAAGAAGTGACAACTTTAAAAATCAGATGCAGAGGGTCAATGCATTGCAATGCAAGTGACAATTTCATTCAAATGTTTCATTTTACAAGAGCTGAAGTTAGAAATATTAGTGTCTTAACTGTTTTCTCTTATTAGACATGAGCCTGTTCTAGCTCCATATCTGGGGGCAACACAGAGAAACACTGGAGTATTTTCTTATTCAGTTGAACCACTAACTTTTGCAGCAATATATACATGCCCAATTAAATGCAGTAAACCTTAAAACAATTCTCCTGACAAACCAAATAATTACAATGAGCAACGCTGATCATTTTTCATAAACTATCTCCTCACCATTAGAGGAAGAGCCCCTATTTGCAAGTGATGAAGTCGAGGAGGTGCATGGTAATGGGCCAAGTGGGGATGCAAGGGCCCTGGCGGGTATGTAGCTGCAGTCACACCAGCTTCAATTCCCAGTTCCCTGTCAAGGAAATGAGAGGGGCATTACAGTACAGGCACATCTTGATTCCTAGGTACAATCCCACTGCTTTGGAAAGCATACAACACAGCATGGCTACTGTAAAAGTTTTACATAACAATTTTAACCATCCTAATGCTACCATAAATAAAAGTTGTTTTTAAATCAGCTTGAAGATTTAGTATGATAAATCAGCAGAGACACCACCACATTTGTTGTGCCCAGGAATATTATCCGTGGGGAGTCATCTTTGTAGCTCTCGCTGCTTAACAGCTGCTGTTCCCACATGCACCTCTTCCCTCATGGTCAAAAGCATTGTTTTAAAAAAAACACACACATTGTGTAACTTCAATGTAATGTTCATGAGTGCACCTGATGCAATTTTAAATAAGTTCAGACAACAGCAGAGAGAATGAATAAGTTTGTAACTCAGATCCAAATCTCTATCTTACAAAGAACATAAACGTAAGAATAGTCTTCAGCAATGTTTTACTTGCCTATTTTTAAACCAATTCCTGAAATAATGACCTAGAGTTAGTAACACTCAATTCCACTTGAAAAGCAATGCATAAAACCCCCTAGAAATACTTTTACAATACTGAGAACTGAAAGCAATACTTTAAAGCCGTATGAACACGTACAAATTTTAAGCTACAGGTGCACACAGCACTTCCTAAAATCACAGCCAGCATTGTCAGCACTGTGATGAGCACCTTATGGTCTTTTGTCCTGAGTCCCAAAGAGCTACAACAGTATCTGATTACTAACCAGGCAGATCTCTCTGGAGCTTGTCGAGGATGAGAAGACATTGTCTGAGGCACATGAATGTGATGTCCATGACCGTAATTGGGATGCATTCTATGAGGATGTGGAGGAGGCCGCTCATGAGCACGTCTAAACAACATAAAACACCAACAGTTAATTTCACATACTTGTTAGTTTAAAAAAAGCAACATCCATAACCAAAACAATACAGACTGAATTACTGGAATGGATTTAAAATAAAACTCACCATACAGTATTTTAATTTCAACTTTTATCTGAAGTTAGAAACTAATTATAATACTGATTTCATTAACAAAGCCAGCTTTAGCTACTGTGATCTGCCCTTCACTTGGCAGATGTGACTACAGAAGGGCTGACAAAGCATTTACTCTTAACCTCAGCCTGCAGATAGGAAAGCAAAGGCCCCAGGATGGTCATGTTGAGATCCAGTCATTCACAGCTATGCTGCAGTTTATTTCTAGTAAACTGTACCAGCAAAAGTAATTATGTGAAGCTCAAGACACTAATCAGAGGACATTTTCCTTGCAACATGTTAGCATAACAGCTCCAGTAATAAGAGCACAGTGTTTTCCATACCAGCTGCTGTAGAACAACTACAGTTTTGGAAGAAATTTTCCAAAATACCTGCTGGCTGATTATTTCTGTTATTTTACCACTTCCTAGATACAGAAAGACATGGTTTGGTGTTCTTTTTTCCCCTGCTTTCAATACAGGGAGTTGCTTTTGGTTGGTTTGTTGTGGGTTTTTTTCACCCCCCCAACCTAGCAACTTGGATTTTTGCCAAAAGCAGTACACTGTTCAGATTCAGTACTGCCTTAAACTACCTGACAAAGCAGACTAGACATTTGATAAATTTACATGCCTAGAGAAGTAAAGAGTTACTTCTATTCTAATCACTGTAAATTAACATTTCTCTAGAGAAATCTGTCCAGTTTGTATAAATTATGTCATAATTATTAGTTTTCTGCAATGACACAGACCTACCAGCAAACCTACTCCTAGTCTCCCTGCCCTTTAGTTTATCAAGTAACTATGGGGAAAAATCTGGAAGAACAGATTTTACTAAAAACACCATAGTAAGACAACTTCCATAGTTTCATATAAATTGATTGTTGTGTAGGCTCATTTTTCCTAAAATGAGTCTTAAAAGAAACACATTTGAAATTGTTTTTATGAATGTAAAACTCCTATGCTGTCTATCCTGCAATTTTAGTACAAAAAGTGGGTGACCAGGTTTAAAATAAACAGAAAGACTGTTACACAAATGCAGTGCACCCTCATACACAATTTCTTAGGATTACAAACCAAAACTTTAGAGGGGAAACCTCACTGTGCAAACTGACACTGACCTGAAATTGGTGACTTCAGAGAGAATGACAAGGAAGAACCTATTATCAGCATTTAACTACACTTTCTACACACACAAAGAACATTCAGGAGGCTAAGAAATGCCCATATTCATGTTTCCAATCTCCAAAATACCAGAAAGTTTCCAGAACTGATAAGACAGCTACCACTAGTATTTTTCCTTAAAAAACTACCTTGCTGTCTTGCATTTGCTGGCTTGAACGTTCCAAAAATGAATTAATTTTGGGGTACGATTGCATAATCACAGGTATACACAAGCAGCATGCCTGTATGTTCAGGTGAGGGTGTTTAAAGTTTATGCCATTTGCACAGCAAAGAAAAACAGGTGTAGGTTCAGGCAGATCTAAATTTTAGTGACTGAGAAAGCAGGGTTGTATTTAACCTTTTGGGGAGGGTCAGGGGATAAAAGAGAGTCTAATGTGCCACTCTGTGAGCAGTTACTACAGATATTTTTTATGAACTGCCTCAAAAACTGCAGTTAAAGCAAACTTTGGTTAAACCTGATTTAGAAGTTAATGCTTAAACTAAGTTACCAGTAGAATTTGTATAACAAAGTTAAGAGCAACAAGGAAAGAGCTCATTCTTGAAAACCTCCTGGATATTTAGAAGCATTACCTCCAGAATTAAAATAACTTCAGTCACTTTGTGACTGAATACCAAGCCAGTACTCACATCATTTCTACTAGTGTCATGGATCTATCTGAGCAACAACAGTAGCATCCCTTAAATAATATCACCAAAGCTACATCTCAACATTGGACACATTCTCATACACATATTCAGTCTCTTCCTTCTCTTCTAAAGATATAAAGGCATAGTAAAGCCAGATAAGTATCCAAGGTTAAATCTGAATTAAACCTGGTTAACTGTCTCCTATGATAAATTGTTCATTATATTTTCAGGCAGTAGTTAGATACAAAGAATCTTAACAGCATCAACAAGGCTAAACACACTTTCAAGGAACACATTTGATATGACCTTATGATGTAATTTCTAAGCTTTCCAACTTGAAAAGGAATTCCTGCCTCTTATCTGGAGGATGAATAACAAGCAAGAGTGAAATAAGCTCCCTTCTCTTCCATGCCCCATCTGTGCCTTACCTGGAGCCACTGTTGAGATGTAATGGAACAGGTTCAGTCTTAATGCTCATGCGACTGTGACGGTATGTAAAGACCCTTCTTACCATGGTTTAATACTAACAGTTCCTAACCATGCAATTAACAGTTTGAGATTCACATGCAACATTTTACAAACCTGAGGGAAATGAATTATATGTTTTAGATATTGTTCTGAGTACATTTGTGACATACGTTGGGTGTTGCATCATTCTTCTTCTCTGGACCTCCATCCTTTGGATCACTTCGTGAGGATGTAGCCTCTGTGCTGGAGGTGCTGTTGCAGGGATGTGATGGGATATAGGCTGGTGTGTTGCAGGAAGATGCTGTGGTATTGGAGCAGCTGCACTGGCTAAAGGATGAGTTGGTGGTGGAGGTGGAACAGGATGAGAAGATGCATGAGAGGAGATTGAAGGATGGAAGGGATGCACTGGATGAGGGATAACATAATCTACTTGAGGTGGAGGCTGTGGCTGTGGAGGAGGATTTCCATGAGAGTGAGGACATGCAGAAGCTTGATGGTGAAGAGGTCTGGTCAAGGAAGCATCTGCAATGAAAACATCAGGTGCTTTTAATCTGGTCAGTAGCAGGAGCAGGTTTTGACTTAAATAAGTTTCAAAACGTATCTTCACACACGTGCTCCAGTATACACCAGTGCAGTAAGTGGCAACAAGGGCATATGTGTTTATGCAGTTTTTAAATAAAAGTGATTCCAGCAATATACCCTACAAGAAACCCACACTTGGTAGCCATAAGTATTCCACTTGTCAACTTTGGTAAAAAAAAAAAAAACACCATACAACTGTGATGCATGCTGAAAAAGGTATATATCCCACATAATTCAGATTTCTTGTTCAAGTTTTAAAATTTTAATCTCTACCCCCCCAAGTCCACTACTGTAGAGACAATAAAATAAAATTTAAAAAATTAAAATCAAACAAATGGGTTGACTCTCTTAATTTGCTCAAGGTGGGGATGGGACAGGGGAGAGAACAAGGAAAAAGAAATAAAAAGGCACTGCTAAAATACAAAGGAGATCAAAAACTGTATGTACTATGAAAATACTTTTAAAGTCAGAATGTTATTAAGGTCACCCAAAAGAAAATATTTTAACTGCACCTTGATCCTGTTCAAATCCTTTACACAAACTGAACTGTTCAAATACATTTCTTAATATCTGTTTTCCTAGGCCAATTCTAAGACCAAAGCAAGCAGCCAGTAAGACTTTTCATATGTTTTCAGCGAAGCTGTTTTCTTGTTTCTTTGATTTCAACACCCCCCCCCCCCCCCCCCACCCACCCGCCCCTTTTACATATTCACAC